AAAGCTGGGTGGATGTTGCAGTTCCGGGAGCCCGGGTGTCCCCGGACTGACTCCAGGGTGCACAGGTGAGCTGCGCCTGTCTGCTCATGGGAGCACATCCGCGGATCTCTGGTGGTGGAAGACTTGGGTCCTGTTTTAGGCTGGGTCTTACTCGCTCTTGTTGACGGCAAAATCACTTTCTGGGCCCCTTTTCCCCTGGGGACCCGGACTCACCATCAGAAAGCTGGTGAGGTTCTTCCTGGACCTTCTAGGAGGCTGTGGCTACTCTGTGTGTCTCATTAGGGATGCTGATAAGCTTTCTCCTGTAAAGAACATATTTGGAAATTTTCATCCATTTTGTTTGGAAAAACCTCCAGAGTTGATTTGGGGGACCGGAGGTGTGAGCCTCCTCCTCAGGACCAGCCACGTAACTTGTGGGGCCACTGCAGAATGAAAATGTGGGGCTTTTCGTTGAAAAATGATGAAAAATTTGAAGACAACAACAGCTGATCCTGAAACTGAATGTGGGCGCCCTGCCCCAGGGCCTGGCCTGTGCGGCTGCAGGGCCACCCCACCAGAGAAGCCCACCCTGCCTCTTTATTTTCTCCTCTTTAATCTTAAGATATTGTGGAGGCTTCTTTTTATGAAAACGGCACCTTGCATTTGTTGTTGAATGCTTAGACACATTATCCAGTGACTCTCATAACTGTATGATGTATCAGCCAAAATGCATGTTATTTATTGAATACCCATGGGTAGGAAAATGTAATTTATATTTTGTAGCTTCTAATACCTGTTTGCCAGTATGCTCATCAGTGAACCTCCCTAGAGGCTTTAAGAATCGCATGTCTTTAACCTAAAATTGCAGTCTCTGTAGATGAATCTTTGTGTATAATTGGGGGAGTTCTCATCACAGCAGGCGGCACTGAGCTTTAGAGAAGAAGAAACCCTTGGGGACAGGTTTTGAGGCTGGTTGCCCCTGGGACCTGGGCTGGTTTACTGGCCTGGTCTGTCTGCGTGTCGTTAGCATCCCCATCGCCTGAGTTAAAGCCCACGCAGGGCGAGCGCAGCACGCGTCCTGGGCCTGAGCACAGCGGGGCGCAGGGTGTTGTGTAGTCTGTGCTAGGACTTGATGGGATGGCCAGGCTCGGTGCCCAGGTGGGCCAGCCGCCCCAGAGGCAGTGTGCTGGCCTGGACAGGACATAGCTCTCAGATGGCCTGGGCTCCAGCCTGGCCCTGCAGCTTCCCGCTGGGTGACCTTGGCAGGGATGGTACTTCCCGGCTGCCACTGTCCATGGAGAGAGGGGAAGAGAGGGCTACCTGGGAGGGTTCTGCTGAGGGTCAGGTAAGATAATGTCACTAAAGTACCTGGTAGCCACCAAGATAAGGTCCTGAGCAGCAGGTGCTGGGGGTGCAGCCAGAGATGAGGAAAACGGGTCAGTCCAGTGTAGTAGGACAAGACGAGCTAACAACAAAAGCAACTGAAAGCGCTGTGAGCCCAGGGGTAAGAGTCGCACAGGCGCGACGCCCCACGGGTGGGGGGGCTGTGCAGAACGGGGTTTAGTAGCATTAAATGCTATTCCTTCCCATGGTGTCCCAGACAGAATGTCAAGAAGGGGGCTCTGCCATACCCTTGGACACACTGAGACTTGCAAGGAGATGATCTTCTTATAGACAAAATAACTATTCATACAGTCTGCGGTTTACCTCAGCTTGACCTTTAGTAAATGAGGATGGTGCATGTGTCAAGGGCTCCTTGCAGAACCCCAGGAGAGTGATTTTTCTCAATAGTGATTTTTGACCATGACAGATGACACAGTTCCTTGCTACCAGGCATAGCTGCCTGTTAAAACATGACGGTTTCATCAGCTGAGAGGAAGGGGCGGGTGCTCCCCGCGGTCAGTGCTGGACTGAGCACCGTGCCGGGAAGGGGTGGGGAGGCCCGGTGTGCTCTGGGGAGTGACTTCTGCGAGTCTCCCTGGAAGTTCCCACGGCCTGAGGGTGCCACCAGGGAAGGGCAGAGGGTCGTCAGAGGGAGGAGACCGGGTTTCTGAGGCCAGCAGGAGCTAGAGCAGCAGAGGGAGGCGGGCACGGGCTTCGGACCAGGCAGACGGGAGTCTGACTCTAGGCTGTGCGTTCATCAGGGCCGCAGGCTGGTGTGCCATTCAGCCATCGGGGGTGGGGGGTGCACTCCCTGCTTGGGAGAGAGGATGGTACCTGCTCCGCTGACCGCTTCACTGCACGGTCAGGAGGCCCACGTGAGTACATGGTTGCACAAGCGTTTTTAACCGAACCCATCCGGTGGGCTCATCTTTATTTCATGCAGTTTCAGGATGCCGACTCTGGGTCGTATGGCCGAGGCTGGTGGGGCCTGCTTGGTCTCTGCAGGGTGCCTGGCGCAGAGCGTTCCAGAAAAATAATCCTTATGAAAGCTCTGTGAAAGCTGAGAAATTCTCATCAGTAAATCATACTATCTGCTCTAGAAAAACCTCTTCACTTCTAGTGGGCATTGTAGATGCCTCTTTGAGTTCGAAACCCTGGCTTGAATCCCTCTTGCACCACTTGCTAGCTGTGTGGTTCCCAGGCACGTGTCCTGACCTGTCTGGACCTTGGGTGCCTGCCTTGTAACGACAGGGTCTGTAATACTTGTCTCACGAGGAGGTCACAAAGAGTGATGAGATCGCCTGCTTGAAAGGGCCTCACACCGAGCACGGGCCCAGCGCTGCTCACCGGTCCCAGGGTCCTCACTCATCTGCCTCATGGAGTCTCTTAAAGGAAGGCAGGGCAGTGGAAATGGGGATGGGTACTGTATTAGTTTTCTTTTGCTTTGTGACAAATTACCTCAAATTTAGCAGCTTAAAACAACACGTTTATTTTGCTATTGTTTCTGTGGGTCAGGAGTCCAGCACATGTTAGCTGGGTCCTTGGCTCAGGGTCGTGCAGGCTGCAATCCAGGTGTTAGCTGGGGCAGTGCCCTCACCTGGAGGCTTGACTGGGAGGGACTGGTCCCCCCACTCCCTCAGGTTGTCATCATTTCTTTGTCATTTTAGGACTGAGGTCCCTGCTCTCTTGCTGGCTGTCAGCTGGCACTGCTTTAGAGGCAGCCCTCAGGTCCTTGCGAGGTGGCCTCCTCCACACGCCGTCTCATGCTTTGAAAGTTTGCACTCAGGAAGGATATAGTCCCTTGTAAGGGCTCAACTGATAAGACCAGACTCTCCCAGGACAATCTCCCATTGGTTAACCCAAAATCAACTGATTGGGGATCTGAATCACTATCTCCTCTGCTGTAAACATAACCTAATCATCATATTGACGCTCAGGGTGAGGATTGCACAGGACATGCACACCAGGGCCAGGAGTCTTGGGGGTCATCTTAGAATTCTACTTCTCATAGTTAAAATACACCCGACCTGGGGTGGTCAGGGATGAGAATGGGGAATCACGCATATGCCGCTTAAAACTGACTGCAGTACCTTCTTCCCAAGTAACAGCCTCTGAGCCAGTGGGGTTCTGTGTGATTTGGGGTTCTGTGCCAAGAACAGTGCAGTCTGGGTCGATTTCAGTTCTGCGAAGCTGCATTCAGCCTGCTGAAGTCAGTGAAAAACACGGGTCAGAAAGCATCCAAGTGGCAGTGTGACTTGCTTTGCTTCAGAGAAAGCCAGCAGTAAGACCTGCTCTGTTCATCTCCAGGCGATCATAGTGCTAACTGCTTCACTGGAAAAATAAATAGCTCAGGGAGTAATCTGAAACCATGTGAAACATGCCAAAATACCAGCTAATACATGGACTCTTTTGTCTGTATATTTCTAGATTTCCAATGGGTTCAAGGAGATGTGTGTGAAGTCCAGCTGATGGTATACAACCCAATGCCATTCGAGCTCCGAGTTGAAAACATGGTATGTGTCAGCAATCCTATGACCCTTTGGGGCTAACCACCAACTGACTATTAAAATAAGCTTTTTTTTACTTACTATTTGAGACATTCATCCTATGATCTATATCTGTTTTGCCAAAAATTATCGGCTTTTTGTGAGTGAAGAACATGTCATTCCTATGTCTTTAGAGTTGGTACTCAATACATTTTTGAATCAGTGAACAAAAACACCTCCAATTTGAACTCTGATGTGAACCGATTTCAACTCCAAGCTTAGTTGGATAAAGATTTGAAATAATCATGTTGAAATTGACGTGAGATCAGTACAGGTTACAAAGTCTGTATTGTGCTTGCCACTCAATATGAACAGTTTACTTTGTTGCCACAGGGTAAGATGAGGGCCTGAGGGTAGAGCAAGCCCTAGAATAAGAGTACATCGCTCCAGGACTGATGCGAGGTTTCGCTTGGGTTTGCAACCCGAGTACTGCCTTTGCTCAAAATCTAGGCACTGGTGTGCTCGCTGGTACTAGAGTGTCATTGCTTCTGGGATGCACGTGCACATAGACATATACTCCCATATAGACCTACACACATACATCTGTGTTTGTATATATATACATATAAACACTTATGTGCATGCACATACACCATGCAAATACAAATAAAAATTTTAGAATCTGACTTCACAGTGATACCCCCAGTTCTGCTCCACCTCCCTCAGGTCCTCTCTGGCCTTCCTCCTTTCTACACCTGTGATCTTCCTCCCAGTGTGAGAACTTGGGCTCACCCATCAATGTACTTACTCATCTGCTCAGTCCTGTAGCACATCTAGAACAGTCCAGGGTTGCTTCGACCACAGACAGCATCACAGGACACAAGCCCGCGGGAAGGAACCCAGGGTCTCTCCTTCATTTAGGTCTTCCTTAGTTTATCTCAGCATGTTCTGTAGATTCCAGTGGGAAACCTTACACATCATTAGATTTATTCTGTGATAGTTGGTGTTTTTGATCTCTTATCAATGGTATTTTTTAATATTTTATTTTCTAATATTTTTTGTTTATTGCCAGATCATAGAGATATCTGCCTTTTTTTAAATGCTGACTTTGTTACTTGGCTATATGCACTTGTTAGCTCTAGTTGCGTTATAAGATTCCATAGGGTTTTCTGTGCACACGGATTTGTTTTTTGTGAATAATTGTCTGTATGCTTTTTATTTCTTTGTCCTGGCTGTTGCACGGGGTAGGACCTCTATTACAATGCCGAGAAGTCCTGGGAGCTGACCTCTCTGCAGCGTTTCCCGTCATGCGGCCATAACGGGGGCCAGGGAATCTGCCTTGTGCGCTGCCAGTTCTAGCGCCTGGCACACAGTGAAATGAACTGATAGTTCATAGATGCACTGGGAGGATATTAACTGATGATGTATTTCCTCACTTCATGTTCTTTTTCTTTTGTTGGTAAATAAGATGTTTTATTTTCTTCTTTTTTGTTTACATTCCAATTTGGTAAAACAACAAAACAAATGTCAAAAATAAAGCAAGATGGGATTCAGCTCCCTGTGGTGCTGTTTGCAGGCTGCCTCGTGTTAATTGCATGTTCAGACTCTTGGTCTCTGCGAATGTCTGTGCGCTTCTGTAAAAGCCGGGAATTAGTCTTCTCGTTGTGGTGGGCTGGGAGCCTGCCTGTTAGCAAATGCCCTGTGGCGGCTGAGCTGTGTTCATTCCTGCCTGCCCCCCCCCTTGCTTTAGGGGCTCCTCACCAGTGGAGTGGAGTTCGAGTCTCTCCCCGCGGCACTTTCCCTCCCAGCGGAATCTGGACTTTACCCAGTGACGCTCGTTGGGGTCCCACGGACGACTGGGACCATCGCTGTGAACGGTAAGCAGATTCCTTTCTGATTTCAGGTCTGCTGGGAGCGCCGAATGCCTGTCCTGCCTCACCAGTCCTGTCCCTGCTCACCCGGCATGCTAGTCCTAAGCAATTAAAAGATAGTGGGAAGCTTGCCTCTCCTGGGCATGTGGGAAGGACTGTTCTGTATGCACAGGAGGTTTCCCCGCGGCACTTTCCCTCCCAGCGGAATCTGGACTTTACCCAGTGACGCTCGTTGGGGTCCCACGGACGACTGGGACCATCGCTGTGAACGGTAAGCAGATTCCTTTCTGATTTCAGGTCTGCTGGGAGCGCCGAATGCCTGTCCTGCCTCACCAGTCCTGTCCCTGCTCACCCGGCATGCTAGTCCTAAGCAATTAAAAGATAGTGGGAAGCTTGCCTCTCCTGGGCATGTGGGAAGGACTGTTCTGTATGCACAGGAGGTAGGGGGCCCGGGCCAAGCCCTGTCCCTGAGGGAGGCCCTTGCCCAGTCCAGCTGCGGCCCTTTCTCTCCCCCGCCGACCTTGCTGTCCTTGGACTTCTCCCGGGAAGCTTGCCCGCAGAGGGGAGCCACTCCCCGCTGTCATGCCCTCCGGCCCCTGAGTCCCTCTCCCCGTGGCCTGCTCTTCTGCCGCCTTCTCAGCCCCTGTGCCACCTCTATGCAACCCTTAGTCCTGGGGACTTTTCTGGCTTCAGGTGCATCTGTTTGCTGTGGACTCTTAGGGCCTCATCTCCTGTCCAGACCCCATTCCTGACCCTGCGCATCAGCCACTTACCAGCTGTCCCCTGGGCTCTCTTGTAGGGATGGCATGTGCAGGGTGCCCCGCCTCAGAGAGGGCATCACCATCTAATCAGTACCCTGGGCGGGTATTCTGGGGTCCTCCCGTCTCTCCCGCACCCCCCCCTGTGTTACTGACCAGGTCATCCCCACTCCCCTCCGCCTCACAGCCACTCCAGTTTTGCAGAACATGACCCAACCACAGGGTTTGTCACAAAAGCAGCAGGACTGGTCTCTCTGCCTCAAGTCTTGCTTGCTAAAAAACCCCATGTTCCAAAGGTCACTTCCAAGTGACCTTTCTGCAGTGCTGAACCTGTCATGCCTTGTCTCGACCAGAAGTCCCAGTGCCTGCACCGTGCCGTCCTCGGCAGGGCTGAAGTCCTCAGCGAGGCCCTGGAGCCCCGCGTCTCTCTGCCCTGCCCTCCCTGGAGCCGCACTCCGCTCCCCCTCAGGCCGCTCTCAGCCCTGGGCGGGCACCGCTCCTTGGAGCCCCTGTCTGTGCTTCTCCTATGATCGGCTTCCAGACGTGGCCGGCCAGGTGCTTCTCAGCTTCCCTCCCCCCCCCGGGGACTATGCACATCCCTCCTGAGTGCCACTGATGGCGGCGTCTGCTGGCCATTGCTCTGCTGGCCTTGTCTGCCTTCTTGGTTGGATCCCCAGCGCCTGGTGTGCAGTGGATCCTCCATAGCCATGGGTTTGTTGAGAGAAGAAGTGTTTTGGGAGAGGGTGTTCTCACTGAGCCGGTGAGGCAGGCCTCATCCCGGGTGAGGAGGTGTGCACTGCACGGGGCCAGGCACACGGCTTATGGGGACATGGGGAAGAGGTGACCCAGCAGGGGACAGTGGGTGGAGAAAGACTTCTAGTACATGACCCTGAGGTTGGAAGGCCATCCTTAGCCACAAAGCCGTAGCCATCTGCCCTTGGCACAGGTGGGTTGGGGCTCATTTGTGGCACACTTATGTACGAAGCGGAAGGGCTGGACTTGTGCTGTCAGACCTCCAGACCAAACAGGATTTGCCATCAGGGTTTGGGTTTCTTCGCAGTCATTTTCAGCAATGGGTGGGAAAGCAAGATGGCTGATTTTAATGAAGAAATGGGAAACAAAGGTGTAGCAGACAAAAACCACATCATACCAAGGTTCATAGAAAGAAAAATGAAGGGGCATCATGCTCGCTGTGGGTTTCTGGGGAGGGAAGTGTTTGCAAGTGAATTCAAGGAGTCTTTTAAGAAACATACTTTATCAAGAAGGAAACGTGGGTTCTGCGGAGTTACTTTATGTTGAATAACGAGTTTAACCCGGTGGAAGTTGAAGGGGGGCGTCGATGAGGCTGTGAGAGGCCCTCGTTGCTGGTGAGGTAGTGGATTGCTTCCCTGTTCAGGCTGTGACCGGTTAGTCTGAGAAGAAGGTGTCACTCTAGGCGTTTAGCCATGGGGTATCGTTTAATTTTGTTACACAGTGAATGTTGTTTATAATAATTATCTCCTAAAATTTCAAAAGCCATTTTAAAGGTTTGGTTAAACAATTTCAAATGCTTATCAAACCAATGAATTTTTTCTTTCTTGTTTTTTTTTTGCGTGGCAAATTTGCTAATCTTAAATTATAGTGCTTGTACGCAGACAGCAGATTTGTCGGATCTCACAGCACTTAACATAATAATTGGCTCTTGAACTTTCATCTCTCAACAGAAGATTTTTGGATCATCTTTCACATACTTATTATATCACATTATGTCCTGGGAAGAAATACTAGCTATCATTCTTACTTTAGAGATGCATAAATTTGAAAGGCGAATTAGAAGGGGGATGAGATACCTATTGAGTCGTGTAGATTTGTAGCTGACAGAGACTTTCACGTGCAACTTTCACCTGGACCCAATCACCCTGTGGGACTGGAACGCACGTGCTGTTGTCATCCCTGCCCTCAATGGGGGAAGCTGAGGGGCTGCAGGGGTGCGTGTGGGGGCCGTGGGTGCGAACAGCTTGTGACGGGGCCTGATTTGAACTCAGGGCCTCAGAAGGGGACCCTGTGCTCTTCTCACTCCCGGGGGCTGCCTTCGGGCGTGCGTGTGAGACTCCGAGACTTTCCAGGTGGTGTGAAGCTTCTCCTTCTGTTTCCAGGCTATCACACCACGGTCTTCGGCGTCTTCAGCGACTGCCTGCTGGACGACCTCCCGGGGATAAAGGCCGGCGGCTCCACGGTCGAGGTCATTCCTGCTCTGCCCAGGCTGCAGATCGGCCCTTCCCTGCCCAGGTAGAGCCCCCAGGAGCACGGCTGTCCGCTTTCTGGCAAGCAGCGGTGCTTCGGAGCGGTGTGTGGCGTATGCTCCTTAATGGTGCCAGGAGTCTGAGTCAGTCTGTGATTCTCTGGACAAGAATACGGGTGAAAGGTTTTTCACAATTACCAATAGGCCACATGCTTTGCTTAAAGCAAATTGGATCGAAGTTGAAGTGTTTGTTACCAAGAAGAGAAGAGAATGTGAAATTAGCCTTTGGAATCACAGTTTTTATGAGGAATGGTTAAGTTTTTAGAGAATTTAAGAAAAACTCTTTTAGAAATATTCTTTTATTTAAAAAAATAGCATTATAGGAAAGCATAAAGAAAGTGAATTGATCTCAGAAGTCCCAGAAGCAGCTCCTGTTAATGGCTTTGTGGTATTTCCATCCAAAGTTCACCCATCCTCTGTTAAAAGAAAGATGTTTGAGAAGTGGGGGTGATGCTATGTTACGTGTAGTGTCGTAGATTACCTTTTGCACAAGGGTGTTGCATGAGCTGAAACATGTCTATTTCAGTTGCTTCAGAAGGGACATCGTAAAGACATCTTGGTACCACGTCACCATTCATTTCCTTGCTATTGAAATCAGAGATTGTCTCGGTTTTTGCTCTTATGAGAAATGCTTTGATGTTCAGCCTTTTGGCTGTATCTTTATAAAATGTATCATGGGGTTGTCTGAAATGTTTTTAGCGCTCATTCACATACTTAACGGGCCCTTTTCAGTTGCCAGGCCCCGTGCTGGATGCCCAGGTTGTGAGAGTGAGCGCAGTAGCCCTGGTGCTTGCCCAGGAAATTACAGTCATGTGGGAGAGACAGACAGGCCACCAAACCACCGCAGTCCGCTCTTGTCAGGACCCGGATGGGGCTGCAGGAGCTCGCAGGGAACATTCCTTCCCGGAGGCCACACCGAGTGTGTGGTGAGGAGGGAAGGCCGTGTGAAGGGGCGGCAGGAGCATTTTCTAACCAAGGGAGCAGCTTGCAAGGGACCCCCGAGGTGGGAGAAAGCGCCGTGTGACTGGGGAAGAAAATGAAATGCGGAAAAAACTAACTCAGAAGGGCTCAGAGAACTAATTATAAGAGCTGAAAGTATAAAACTTTGGAAGGAAACATAGGAGAAAATTCTCATCACTTGGGGTCAGGCAAAGCGTTCACTGATACAACACCAGAAGCAAAATCTGTAAAAGAAAACAATGATAAATTAGACTTCATTAAAATTAAACACCTTAGCTCTTCCAGAGGTACCATTAGGAAAATGAAAAGACAAGTCACAGAGTCGAAGAAAATATTTGCGAATCATGTATCTGATACAGAGCTTGTGTTCAGGTAAAGCACTCCTAGAACTCAAACATAGGAGATAAGCAATCTATTTAAAAAATTGGTGAAAGATTTGAATAGATATTTCACCACAGAAGACATACAAATAGTTAATAAGCAACCTGGAAAGATGCTCAGAATGATGACTTCGTGGAACTAGGACCACAGTGAGATTCCAGCTCACACTCCCTAGGATGGTTATCCTCAAAAGACAGGCAGCAAGTAGCCAGTGCTGCAGGCTGGCGGGGAGACCGGAGCCCTCATGCAGTGCTGCTGAGGAGGTGACACATCGTTTGAAGACACTTTGCACTTTCTTGAAAACTGAAGCATATATTTACCACGTGACCCACCGTTCTACTCATAGGTATCTACCCAAGAGAAATGGGAGTGTGTGTGCTCACAGAACCTTGAACTCTGATGTTCACGGCAGCATTCATAGTAGCCAGAAGAAAAAGTGGTGGGAAGAGCCCAAAGGCCCATCGGCTCAGGATAAACAGGACGTGCGGTGTCTGTACAGCAGAGACAGAGCAATACTCAGCCCTGAAAAAGAATGGGCTCCTGACATGCACCCCGATGTAGATGCGCTCCGAAACGGGAGGAAGAAACAGTGAAAGATGCCAGGTGCCAAAGGCCACATAGTGTATGAGTCCGGAAATGTCCAGAAGAGGCGGATGTATAGAGACAGGAAGCAGGCCTGCCGTGAATGAGGCCTTGTGGGGGCGGGACCGATTGCAGGTGGGCACGAGGAGCTCTTTGGGGTGACAGAGACTGGGTGACAGTGATGGTGGTGCACCTTTGTGGACTTAACTGAAAGTGATTCAGTTGTATACTGAAAACAAGTGAATTCTGTGGTATGTAAATTATACCTCACTTAAGCTGTTCCAAACAATGGATCTTGGTGGCTTGAGTGTAGAGAACATGATGTCAGTGGACCCAAACAGAGGAGGACGCTCTTTGTTCTGGCACAGGGACACCGCGCTCCTGGGGTGTCCACTGCCCGAGCGTGTGTCAGCCCCACGGGCCTCCCGCTCCCAGGCTGCTGGCCTGAGGTCACAGAGGACCCTGGCCTTGGCTTGTGGTTTCAGGCATGTGCTGCTGGGCTCGTGGAGAGGCCGCCTGAGCTGGAGGTGAGCCAGGAGAGAGCTGGGGTGGGGGTGGGCCCTCATCAGCTCCCAGTAAAAGCACGGGGATGTCGTGGGTGGCTTGGGGTACATGTTGGGGGAGGGAGGTCCTGGTGTCATGGTGCCAATTGGTAGTTAAGATGTTTTCATTTCTTAATTTTAAAAATTACATGTAATGCCAACATTTTTCTAGGGAGATTTCTGAAATAAAAAGTGGCTATTCTTAAGTGGGTGTTGTAATTAATCTAAATGCCCTTGTGACTGACTCATCAATTTTACTCCCAAACATTTTTTTTTAATTGAAACCAAGTTGGGGTTTTTTTGGCATTGCTGGTTGGTTCTATGTTAGCATTTACAAAAATTACTATTATGTTTTATTGAAGTATGTATATTTTTTTTGGGGGGGAATTTTTTTTAGTTGAAGTATAGTTGATAATGCAATGGTATATTGGTTTCAGATATACAACATAGTGATTCAACAGTTATCTACATTATTCAATTTTCACCCCGATTAGTGTAGTTACTGTCTGTCAACATAGAATGTTACAGAACTATTGACTATATTCTTTATGCTATATTTTCATCCCTGTGGCTCATTTATATTATGATTGAGTTTTGGGCCTCCTTATCCCTTCACCTATTCTACCTGCCCACCCAAACCCCTCCCCTGTGGTACCCCACCAGTCACTTCTCAGTGTCTGAGTCTATTGCTGTTTTGTCTGTTTGTTTTGTTTTATTTATTTATTTTTGTGTGTGTTTATTCCATGTGTAAGTGAAATCATAAGGCAATTGTCTTTCTCTGGCTGGTTTTGCCCCCGTTGTGCCACAGGGGCCTTTTCCCTGTTGCTACCGGTGACCTCCTTGCCTGAAGCTGGTTTGCTGCCCATGGGCTGGGAGGCAAACACCCAGAACAATCAACATTGTGGGTTAGGTGACAGCCAGTGTAACCTAGGCCAGAGGGCCAGACCAAGGGCTGTAGCAAGGGAGCCTCAGGGGAGTGTCAGAGGGCCTTGGGGTCCTCCAGGCGCTGGGCTGCACTCCCGTGGAGCCCTGGGCCTCACCTGACCGGTGCTGAGGATGGTGCCACACAGACACCTTCTGACCCCAGGGCACTGCCCAGCTGCCCTGTGTCCCGTCAGGCGTTTTCGGGCGTTGCTTGCCTTCCTTACTGTGACACCGAGTCTGTTATATATACTGTTCAGTGTTCTTTCGCTCCAGTTCCATGTTATCAGTTGGAACGGTTCATTTAAATTTTCTTCTTAATCTATGGATTTTCCCAAGGCAGTTCTCAGCATGAGATGTAAACATTTTATTTTTTGAGAGTGACACACTCATAGATCATTTGAATCAATTAATTGTTTCATTTTTGCCCTCACCATAACCCAATAATGAAGTATGTTTATGCCTCACCCACACATGAGAAACTAAGACCAAGTGAGAGTGGTCACACAGTCACGTGTTGGTGCCCTGGGGCGGAGCTGCACGTAGCGCTCAGCTGCTGGAGATTTGCCCTTCTGTTCCTGATAGCTGGGTACTGGATTCCACGTTTAAAACCCAGATTTCCCAGTCCCTGTTTTGGAAATGCTTAAGTGTGGTGATATGAATAATTCTAAAATGCCCTCGGTTTTCTTCTTTTGATTCCTTTAAAAGAAGTTCTTACAATTATTACTATTATTTTAGATCTGCACATTCGTTGCAACCTTCCTCTGGTGCTGAAATATCTACTAATGTGTCAGTCCAGCTTTACAATGGAGAAACTCAGCAACTTGTTATTAAATTGGAAAATATTGGAATGGAACCATTGGAGAAACTGGAAGTCACCTCAAAAATTCTCACCACCAAAGGTAGGTATTTTAAGCATATTTGACCCCAGAAATGTTCATCTTCATTATCTGAAGAAGAGATACTTTACATAACCAGTGTTCAGGACTCTGAAAGCTTCTTCTAACTTTTAATTTGATGACATCATGAAATTGACATACTAATTGGGTGTGGAGGCCACACCAAGGAAGATAAAGGAGCAAAGAATTCGCCTGTGTGTCCCTGGTGCTCTTTCCATTTATCAGATCCTCAGGAAAAATACTCATGAATGAATGGATGGGGAGACACACTAGAAGGCTCAGGAGCACCGCCGCTTGGCGTTTACCTCCCTGCCCAGTGTTTCCTGTGAGCCCAGCGCACTGAACCTGTGCGCTCCCTCCTAGAGGCAGCGCTCTGCTTCCCAGCTCTAAGGCGCACAAACCTGGGGGTCATACAAGCTCTAGAAATTTTGGTTTCATGATTTAATAGCTGTTTGTCCACCACATGCTTCGGTTTTCTCCTAGGTAATAGGAGAGGTCTTACCTCCCCACTTATCATGTAGAGTTGTCCTAGGAATTGTTAGGTAACATATGGCGAAATTCCTAGTATGTGAGAGGTTAGTGAGTGGGATTGAACAAAGGGGGAATATCATTGTACAGGAGGAGGGAATGGTAACAAAATAAGTGGAAATAGAATCAGATCATTTAGTAGTGTTAGATAAATTTTAAGTCCACTGAGAACAGATGGAGACAAAGGAAGGAAAGCAGATGGGCAGAACCTTGGGTGTTCATGCAGGAGTGGGGTGAGCCAGGTGCATGGGGGCGCTGACTGCCCTGGTGGGGTTTCTGAGGAGGGATGCATGGTGCCTACGTGACTCCCTGGCACGGGGCTCCCTCCTCATGCTAATGACGGTACAATGGGAAGAGCCAAAGTGAGGAGAATGTTTCGGAGGCCGCGCCACGCCGTCTGGTCGGCTCCAGCTGCAGGGAAGGTCCAGGCACGGGTTTGGGAGAACGTGTCATGCAAAAGGTTGTCACGAGAGAAGGAATTTGGATTGGATAGCATAAGGAATAGTAAATCTGAGCCGTCCCATGGCAGAATTTTAGAGTATCTTCTGTCTCCGTATTTGCCCCACTGATTTTGTTGAAAGTCTGTGTGTGGGGGGGGTAAATGGAGCACCTAGCTGACTGTCGCATGTGTCCTGCCTGATCTGTGTCTATGTCTCTCCTCATTGGAAAATGCTGTGTATGTTCAAATTCTCTTTATCACTTACTAGCTGTGTATTACCTTTGGCAAGTAATTCAAGCCCTACTGGCAACCCTTTCCTCTTTTGTAAAATTATGCTAATAGCACCTCTATCCTAAGATTATTATGAGAATTAAGTGAGGTAATATATGCAGACAGTATGGAATGGTTTAGTACTCAAATTTTTGTTCGCTGTCCTTATTACCGCCACTCCCACCACTGTCGCCATGACCACCGTCACCACCGTGCCACCACCGCGGCGGACCACTCTGTGTGAACTTGTGCATTCAGTGCCAGTCCGTCTGGGCGGGGTCTGGCTGGGGGCTCTGGCGCGGGCTGCGGTGGGCCTCTGCAGACGCCCTGTTGAATATATCTTCAGGGGCGGAAGGCTGACAGGGTACACACGTGACCTCTCCAGAGTGGTTGTGGCCACTTTCGGCCATCACTGTGTGTGAGTTCTGTCGCTCCAAGTCCTCGCTCGTACGGGGCATTTGCAGTCGTTGTGCCTGCTGGTGGTGAAGGTGGGGTGGATGGTGCAACAGAGGGGTTTCCTTGGGGACCAGTGAAGCTGAACACCTTTTATAGGGTTCTGGTGACTCAGATCCTCTTTCCTACAAGCCCTTTGTCCTTTTTCCCACTGGCTGTTTTTCCATCTCTTTCTTGCCCCCCACCCCCACCCCCCACCGACTTGTCGGACTCTTTGTTTTCCGAGTATATGTTTCTCTGTCAGAAATACGTGGGAACATCTCCTCCTGCTCTGTGGCTGCCGTTGTACTCTTAGCAGCGTCTTTGGGTGAACAGAGGTCCTCAATTTTTACATGGTTCACTTAATCATTTTTTTCTTTTGTGGTCACTGCTTTTGGTATCTCATTTTGTGTGCTCTTAGTCTTTGGGAAATTTGATGCTACCTTAACCTCAGTCTTCCATTTTGCCCCTGTTTTTGGGAGCGAACACATATGAATTAGGTAGAAAATGCTTCTCGGACATAAAATACCTTTACCTGGTATTCTGAACTTAGTTAAGTAGTTATAGGGTTTGGTTGATGTTTGAACAAACTAATACTGAAACAGGAAATTTGAGTCCGTAATGAGAAGTTTTTTTCACCTCTCCTGTAATTCACCTTGCCTTCACAGGTTAGCAAGTAGAAAGATCTTTCCTTTTCTCAGATAAGTGATACAGCAGCCCTGTATTTACTGAGCATGATGCAGAAAACTGGAAACAGTCATGGGCCTGGGCAGAATTCCAAGGGAGAAGCAGTCGGTGGTGGGTGTGTGTGGCGTGGTCCACGGTCCCCTCCTGTCCCCAGTTCCCAGTTCCCTGTCACCGCCTGCCCACCCCTCCCCATTCTTTCTGATTGTGTCACTTTTCTCTGCTTACCTTCCCGTCTACTCAGCTCTCAGACAGATAGGGCAGGTGTGGATAAGATGAGAGTTCCTGTGGCCAGGATTTTCACCTGGCCCTGGTCGGCTAGCTCACCACACACCTGTGGGCAATACGATGCTATTGACTCTATATAAAGAGCTCTGCCCAGTGCTCTGGGTGACACGGTGGCAGGGCTGCAAGGCTGCAGGAGAGCAGAGCAGAGGCTGGAGTGGTGGCAGTGCCGAGGACAGAAGCCTGGAGGAAGGCTGTCCGGGCAGAGGGGCCCAGAGGCAGAGACTGGCTTGCTGCACGCAGACTCGCTCTGAGTGAACGGGATTTTAGTGACTGACCTGCCACCTGGAAATAAAGTTGGGTGTAACCCTTTCACCCCAAGAACGTTCTACTATCATTTGTTGGGTCACATTGAATCCATAGTGAACTTGCCCATGGCTGAAACCCATTGGTGAGACAGCAAGTGTGTCACCCCACTTGATGGGCAGGGAAAGTGAATGCAGAGCAGGTTGAGTGCCCTGTCTGAGGTCACAGAGCAGGTTGGCAGGGACCCAGCACCCTTAACTCTCAGCCCTGGTATTTTTACCATTAATCATGAGACAGAACCCTAAATCCATGATCTAGAGTGTGATATGGCCATTTTCAAACACAGCATGCTTGGGAGTGAAAAATTAAAGCTGTCATTCTTTTTAAATTCTCATTCCAAGCTGCAATACATTTACACGTGGAATTAAATTAATGAAAATAAACCATCTGCTTCCAAAATTAACAAAGAAACAATTCCTGTCACTTACAGTCTACAGTACCAAAAGCTGTCAGTATTAATAAATGACCCAATGAGTGTGAGAACATGGGAAAATGTCTTCAACTGGAAACATGAGTGAGAGTTACGTGTCTTGAGTAGGGACAGCAGCAGAGACGCTGTAAGGGTCCTCGTGGCTAATAAGTAACCCGTGTTTCCGTTTGAGCATTATTCTTATTTAAGCGCTGAGTTTAGCTTCTTTAAGGGTATCTTAAAGGTCTGCTCTGTGGAAATCTCCGCATGGAGTGAAGCACCCCCTTCGCCGGGTTCCATGTGACGTTTTCTGACCACCATTGGAGTTATTTTGTATCTCAAACAGAACTTTTACTTTTTAGCACACACCGTGTGCCTGTTGTGCACTCAGGTAATTTCTTCTCACTAAATGATCGCAACACCCATAAGCGATCTTTTCGGAGGCGGAGGCGGTGGTGGTGTGTTTATTTCTCTGCTTCATCCCGGAGCCTAAGAAGGAAGCCCAGTGCTGGTCACGGCGCTGCTACCAGCCCTGCGGGCGGCCACGAGGTCGGTGCTGGGCACAGAAAGCTCTGGGGCACTTCTGAGCGTGGGAGCTCTAGGCCATACATCAGGGGTCCTGGTGCTTCTCGATGCGTCCTGGCTGCCCATGGCCTGCGTGCTTGGGGCCTTGGCCATGGGGGACGCCTGGCGGTGGGCTGCAGGCTTCCATCCCCTCTCCTAACGCCTGGAAGGCACCTGCGTCCCTCCCAAGTCACCAGACACGTCCTCCCTCCCCTCTGCATGAACTCTGTTTGCTTCGGAAAAAGACGGCTCTGTCTTGCTTTTCCCTCCACCCCCTTGCTTTCCTGTCTTTCAGTCCGTAGCCTCACAGGCTCATTTTTCAACCCCCTTTGCTCTCTCCTTGTGTGGCGAGGACCAAGCAGACCTCTGTGAGCCCTCAGGGGACTGTCGCTTGGGTTGTTCTGGGGTGAATGTGCCCAGCGACCACATGTACCTGACGTGCTGGTGAGCACTTACGAGCAGTCCCATCAGGACGAGGATTATCTGCTGGTGTCATGTAATCATTCTAATTACAATCCATTTGTAGGTCAGTATTATTTTTTTTTCCACTTTTTTATTCAGGTATTAATGATATACACGCTTATGAAGGTTTCACATGAAAAAACAATGTGGTTACTATATTCATCCATATTATCAAGTCCCCCCGCACCCCAATGCAGTCGCTGTCCATCAGTGTAGTAAGGTGCCACAGAATCACTATGTGCCTTCTCTGTGCTGCCCTGTCTTCCCCGTGATCCCCCCCCCACACCATGTGTACTAATCACAGTACCTCTCAGTCCCCTCTTCCCTCCCTCCCCACCCGCCCTCCCCCACCCCTCCCCTTTGGTGACCACTAGTCCCTTCCTGGAGTCTGTGACTCTGCTGTGACCAGGGCTTTATCTGTAGGTTGTTAAAGATGCAGACTCCCGCCCTAAGTGATCACAGACTTTAAGTAAGCCCACTTTAAGAAGAACTTACTGTATCTGCCTTTCAGCAAAGCTTCTAAGGTATGTGTATGTACAGGCGCAAATGTACACACACATACATGAATACACATCTGCATCCCTTAATATTTTTATTTTTCTAATTAAATTTTTTGACAAAAAG